GAGTAATCGTCAATGAAAATGATAAAATATCTTTTTCCATTACGCGATAAACAATCCATCTCACAAATATCAGTGTGGATTAATTCCAAAATTGTGGATATCCTTTCAACAGACTTAAAAGGTTTCTTTGTTATTTTACATTTACTACAAGTAATACACTTAGCAACATGATCCTTTCCACAGTCTTTAATTAATCCATTTTTCATCATAAGTTTAATGGATCTAAAATTCACATGACCAAGACGTTTATGCCATAAATCTAAAGACTCCACAATATAAGCAGAAATATTTTCATTTTCAATATTGAGTTTGAACATGCCATTTGTAGCATAACCTTTTCCAACAAACATGCCTTGTTTAGACAAAATAAATTTATCTGCCTCAAAAATCATTTTAAAACCATGTTTCGAAAGAAGCATACCTGACACCAAGTTCTTTCGAATATTAGGAACATGCAATACGTCTATCAATGTGACCATCTTTCCGGAAGTGAATTTTAGTTCAATAGTTCCCTTTCCCACAACCTTAGCAGAGGATGAGTTTCCCATATGCAAAACTTTATCGCCCCCCACTAATTCATATGTCGTGAAAGAATTTCGATTACCTGATATATGACGAGTTGCACCAGTGTCTATCCACCATTCCACTTGATCTCCAGCTACAAATGCTTCTGTGACCATTGCCACCAGTCATTTTTTGTATTGTTATTTGCCTTTTCTTTCTTCTTTTCAGCTTTAAGAATTTTACAATCACGTGCATAATGACCAATTTTATGACAATGATAACATTCAATCGACTTAGAATTAGAATTAGTACGCTTGAAATTTTTACTCTTCTTTGCCTTCAAAAATTTATTATTGGCAGGTTCCTTTTTGATCTTTTCTTCAACAACATGAGCTTTCATGATAGGCTCCCTCAAGATGCTATTGGCGCGGTATCTTGTCTCTTGTTCAATTTGCAAGTGTTGCAATAATTGTTCAAGAGTCAAATCTTCCTTCTTGTATAAAAGCTTGCTTCTGTATTCTTTCCAAGATGGAGGAAGTTTTGAGACAATCGCACCAACATGAAAGTTTTCATCAAGAGCAGTTCCAGTTATAACAATTTTATTAGCTATAAGTTGAAATTCTTGTACTTGTTCAGTGATTGACTAGTCATCAACCATTTTGAACTCCATATAATTTGAAATAAGAAATTTCTTTGAACTCGCCTCTTCTGCTAAATGAATAGCTTTAAGAGTATCCCAAATCTCCTTAGCAAATTTACACTTAATATAATATTGATCATAATATTTATTGGACATTCCTCCAAGAATATAATTCTTGCATAAATAATCATCATCTTGCCATTTGGCAATTTGTTCTTTAATTAAAGTAGCCTCGTCCGTTGCTACCTCAGAACTAGGAGCCTCGGGACAAGGTTTCTCAAGAACATATGCTAGCTTTAATCGTCTTAAAAAGAATTCCATCTTTCCACGCCATCTAGAAAAGTCTTTTCCATCAAATATTTCAAAATTAGGATTAGGCAAAGATGGAATACTGTTCGTTATTGATGTGGATGCCATAGAGACAACTATCTTCAAATTGTTAGAACAAATGAACAAGAATGATAAAATTACAAGGAATACAAAATAAAACTTGCTTGGCTTAGAGGCACATTAATACGTTTCTTGAAGATAGTTGGAGTCTCTCCCACGAGCAATCGGAAGAA